TGTTGGTTTTTAGCTGGGATGTACTTTGTTTCTCGCATTTCATATAGCATGTTTGAAACTCTGGATAAAGCGTTTCGCTTGACCATTAGTGGCAGGGTGGAATGGAGCCATTGTCGGTCACCACCTGTGCGCCATTACCACTTCAGGCCACTTCGAGTGCGCGGCTACAACGATAAGGAAGATTCGTTTTAGGAACGGCCCAGCAAATTCTGAATGGATCCTCTGCTAGGATGTGGCTGGCTATTCCCAGGAGTGTGGTAGTACTTTGCCGGCTGTATTCTGTTGACCTTGACAGCCATGGCAACTCGTAGCTAAATGTTCAATATCCTTATCAACTTGGTGCCAGGGATTTCATCTTAACAATACCCGTGTGGCCGTCGTGGAGCTCGGTTAACACTTGATCATGCAACTTGGCAGGAATAACGGCTCTGTGTCAAAGCAGGAGACTGGCAGGGGCTCAAACTGTGTAGCATAGAAGAGGCCAACTGGGTCTGTCTCTTCGCCTGTAGTCTCCCCTCGCAAGGGAAATCGAGACAGACCATTCGTATTCCCATGCGACTTAGTGTTCTTGTATCTAATTGAATCGTCGAAACCAGCGGCAAGAACAATGCGTAACGTTGTAAACTAGCAGCTGTGACAGCAGGAAGCCTTTTGCTGGGATAAAAAATTGACGTAAGAGGCTCATGATCAGTCAGTAAGGCAAAGTTCCTATTGTGAAATTTCTTGACTCCCCACACTGTAGCCAGCGCTTTTTTATCAATCTGGGCATAGTTTCTCTCTGCCTTTTGCAAATAGCTTCTTCGCATTGTTCTGTCCAGTTCCATTGGTAGTTGCTTTCCAACATTCGCTTCAAAGGATGCAGAATTGTAGCGAGGTTTGGCAAGAATTTGTGGTAATAATTAACCAATCCCAGAAATGAGCGAACTTCTTCAACCCTCTGGGGTCGAGGGGCAGTCACCATTGCAGCTGTCTTGTTAGTGTTCTTATGTAGGCCTTCGCTATCAATGTTATGGCCACAGAAGGTGATATTTTCTTTAAAAAACTCGCACTTCGACTTATTGGCTCTTAACCCATGGTGTTGCAGACGTCTTCCAGGTTAGCCAAATGCTTCGCATCGCTCTTGCCCGTAACAATCATGTAATCTAGGACACAACTAATGCCAGAAGTTCCTTCCAGATTCTGGTTTATGGTACGCTGCCAGATAGCGGACGCTGAGCTAGGTAATACCAAACACCAGTCGATTGTATTGAAACAAGCCCATGGATGTATTGATTGTGAAGTACTTCTTGGATTGTTCATCTAATTCAATTCATTGTATGCTTGGCGAAGGTCGATCTTGGAAAACTTTTTTCCACCAGCAGGGGGTACTGTTCTGCTTGTTATGCTGGGTTAATAGTACCTTTGAAGTCATCACAAATACGGACCGAACCATCTTGTTTCGGCACTGGTACAATCAGTGTCGCCCAATCACTCCACTCTACTTCCGACAAAATACCCCCTAAGGAGTATGAACTGGGGTTGACTACCTTTCTTGAGGGTTATCTTTGCTTTAGCTGATTGGAAAGTTTCGAGCTTGGCCTCTGCATACGTATCTAATAGGTTTTTCAGTTTCTCTTGTGTCGTCGCGCCAGGGTTTTCATTGCTGAGATTTGAAGATTTCAACAACGTAATGGTTTTCGGAAAACTATTACGTTGTTGAAATCAACCGTTTTCCGGTTGAGGCAAAACTTGTGTAGCCAGTCTACACATTAACACTGGGCCCTTTGTCTTGACCACATAGAGCAGCAGTAGAAAGAACTGATCTAAGTGTTCAACTTGCACGGTAAGGCAACTAACTGGAACAATCTTTTCATCGAGTTCAATGACCGATAGAAGCAGCAACGCCAGCAACGTAATTTTCCTAGTGTATTATAACCACGCTCTATTCCTCCATTGTCAGTATCTGGAAGACTCAGTTCAGTAACAGGCAGTGTGTTCTTGTCTGTCAGGTATCCACTGTCCTCGCGCCATACTTGGTCATTATCGTCACAATTATTTTTATTTCCACCTTTTGTTTGTTTGTTTTTAAAACGCTTCTTTTTAAATTGTAAGTAAAGTTTAGTTCAAACGTCAAATGATTGCATGCTTGCATGCAGGCCTAATGAATGCATTACAACGATTATTTTTAATAACAATTATTTCTTAATGCTCACTTACAGTATGTGCATGTATTACAAACGACTGAGTACGGTTTAGGTCCTGTCAGTTAGTGTATGCATCGAGAGTTGGTTGAAATTTTCCATTATAATGTCCGAGCAACCTTAGAGAACGCATGTCGCGTGACTCAACTTTAAACTCGTCATCCATGTTTACGTAAATTCTTAATGACGGACAAGTGCATGGATATATTTCAATATCCACGATCGTATACGCTTCTCAAAGGGGTTGATTCTGTAGGTTTGAAACACTAACTTTGTTATTGTTATCGCATATCGTTAATTTCCGTTTTATTACTTCCTGCGACTACACGCGCAGCTGCACCCAGTTTAGTGTTTCTTTTGTGTATCACTGTCATCTAGAGTAAGGTCACTCTATTCTACAATTGGTTAAATACGTCTACGTTTGAACTCTATCGACGGTATTCAGCAGCAGTTTGGTGTGTGCGCCAACTAAAGTAAGACTCTTTCTTTGTGTTATTATAGTTGTAAACATAGCTACTTTAGTTGATTTATTCTGTATTTAGTGCATGCCTGTTACAGTATTTAATTTGTCTAGATTGCATGACTTAGTGCGGTTTAATTCTTGCATTTTTAGTTCGAACCTTACCTACTATATTTTCTATTCCGCGATCATTCTATTCAATATTCCGTTACTGGATCGATCAGTCACCATACCTTCAACCGCACAGTATTATAATCGGCCATAATCTTTATCATTTAAGATACATTTTATAACCATTATCCGCGAACGTGTTATTTTACCATCGTGGTTAGCGAATTTAGTGGAGTTCAATTTATGGCGTTAACGACACACCAAGGCAGCGTAGCTCCTAGAAGAATTTGGGATTTACAGATTCTATATCATTTTTGAACACTCTTTATATATGCCAGTCTTCTCCATTAACTTTTCCATACGGCTACATAATTAGCGAAAGATAGCCTCAATTTGACAAAGTCACAAATTGTAATAATTACATCGACTGTGAGCCTCAGTCCTCAGATTTGGCCTTTTATAAGCGTGGAAATTTTTAATTTCCATTTGATTTTATAATTCAATTTTTGATCGAGTATGCGGCGTTTTGGTTTCATTTCAATCACTGACTGTCGAGATAGAATGCATTTTGTCACAACTCCGCTTTAAACACATCGTGCATATTTACATATTATATTAACTTTGGCGGGCATTGCGGTGTATTTTTCGGGCTAATATCATAAATTTGCCGGGCTAAAAATGATTTAGCCCGGCCCGTTGATCTAAGCCAATCAGAAGAATGACTGAACTGTTTAATGCATTATCTTTTATACAAAAATTGTCCTTTTAAAAGTTAATATAATAGTTATAAATGAGTTCAGAGTCGGGCCAAAAACACATTTATGCCCGCAAAGATCAACTCTATTGTTATATTAATCGCAGATGAACGAACAAGTAATTGGGCACAAGAAGACAAAATAATAGACTTTATGCATTACATATCAAGCCGTGACGCCTGCAGGGAATTCTGGTTTTATAGTAGTCACAGCGAAAAATTCAAACTTCAAAATTTCCCGTCGTGACGATAGCTTGTTACATCATTATGCTTAAGGTCTATTGGTGTGGAAACAAAATATAGTCATCTAGGTTGTATTTTTAGGCTATCCGAGGGGATTTGGGCTTCAGAATTTCTTTAATCACTATTTTGTAGTGAAAACGTCGTTATAACACGTAGTCAAGCCAGTTGTATAAAAAAGGTTTAGCGTTTATTGTAGTTAAAACCTAGTTAGAATTACTCATCCTCAAAGGTATGGTTGACTTTTCAAAACATAAAAATGGCGACTTGAAATTTTCAGGAGTGAGTGAACATTAAAGACAACACAAACGTAGTTTTTTTAAAAAACTTATAGTTTTGACCAGGAAATAATTTTAGGCCGTTTTTTTCACTTCATTCTCTGTCTATGGTACACAGTTTTTTTGTAAATATCCGACATTATTTCTCCGTCGCGAATTTTGAATACAAACAACTTGCCCCCATTTTGAAAGCTTAGCTAAGTGCATGTTTACTGCTTTTAAATAATCCGAGGTAGCTCGAACAATCAGAGACCAGAATTTTTCAAATTTGTAATTATAACTAAACAAAGACAACATAAATAAAATTACTTGTTCATGGCAGGCAAGCTTAAGACCAATTAGCCATTAAGTCGCACATATGCATTAGATAACGATCATTAAACTTTAAACTATACGACTGCTTATCTATAAGTCTATAATATTCCATGTTATTGTAAAGCACCTTGTTTATTACATGTAAAGTTCAGTGACGAATATAAATTATAAAATTTTGGTTTCACGTGATTGTTAATCAAGTCACAAGATTATATTAACCACATCATGTTTGATGTTCCATCTCTTATCCCCAGCAACGTAATTTATCCAGTGTGTGATAACCACGCTCAAACAAGCATTTGCAAAGAATTATAGTTTTCTTTCGAAGTTATGCGCTAAACAAGAAGGCAAGGTGCAGTGGTCCAACAATACTGCCTAATAATCCGAGCTCTTTCAAACAATCAGAGACCAGAGCCTTCAGTAAACATCTTTGTAATAACTAATTATACTGAAATAAGACAACATGAAGAAAATGAATTGTTCATTACATGCAAAGTTAAAAGAGTGCCATATAACCAACAAGCAATGCATAGATACAATAATTAAAATTATAATTACGAGTGGAAGTCAAGTTCTTTTCATAATGTGACATCCTTAGAGAAAATGTTCTATATTATAGTAAAGCATATTGATTCACCATTAATGAATAGTCTTGTTTATTACATGACTAGTTTGGTGCATACTGATAACTAAATTCAGTCAGAAGATTATATTATAGCAATCACATCAGGTTTGATGTTCCATCTGTTATTCCCAGCAACGTAATTTTCCCAGTGTGTGATAACCAAGCTCGTTAAAATATCTTACGTCATCATAACCAGCATCGCCAAATCGCAACTCAGTAACAGGTAGAGTGTTCTTATCTGTCAGGTATCCACTGTCTTCACGCCACACCGCGTCATTATTTTCACAATTACATATTTCACCACCTGCACAGCTGTTGGTCATTCCACATGAACACTTTCCACTGTTGACTGCCGCTCCACCCCAGTAATTCATCTTTAAACCTTGACGTGATACCCACCATCCATCTGCCATCAACATGCTACCAAAACATTCATATTTTATAAACTGCTCACAATTCTTCGACTGGTTGATAATCGCGACAATCTGCTCCATGGAAATGTCATATTTAATATCTCTGCCGTAAGAACCTCGAGGATTATATCCACTAACCAATGTTCTTGATTCGCTGTCATGTCCAATCTCTGTCACACCAACACCATTCTTTGACGTCATGTTGCAATATACTTCAACTGAGAAGTTAAGTACATCAGGTTTTATGGAATACACTCCACTATCAACTGAAGGGTATTTCTTTCGTAAAATGGAGCAAGATTTGTTGACGTGATTCGAAATTCCTGGAAATCAAGATAAAGGACTTTATATATATATATATATATATATATATATATATATATATATATATATATATATATATTCACCTTTCTATATCATTGCATTTTAATCAAGATAGCTAAACACATAGTGAAATGAAATATTAATATGTACGAAATCCTCGAAGGAAAATTTCTGACATAAAAAGTTTGGCGTGGATGAAACTTTGATGAAACTTTGAATACAGATACATGTCCGTTCGGATATCACGCAAAACAAAATATTAAACAAAAAATTACCGTACCTTTGGAGGGATTTTGTGGCGACTGTGGGGTACATGTTGGAAATGATTTCGAAGGTATCTATGTAAAAAAAGAGAACTATGCCGTATTTACTCGTGACATTCTAATATTTCTCGGGATTATTCGTTCGCAAAAAACACTTGTTGGTACGTCTGATTCGAAATAACAGAAATTTCAGAAAACATAAACTTCGTTATAGTCAAACCTTTTTGATCAAATAAAGATGTTTGAACTCGGGGTTTCTCACACTTTCATCAACGTCAGATGTGTCTTGAAGCGTCTTGCTGTTGAGCTCACATCGACCTTTGCCGATTCCAGAGGTTTTGTAATTAACAGACACACACGATTTATGAGCGACGCAATACCTACTGCATTCCAACTCAGTTTCAGCGTGTTTTGTCTCGATGACATGATTCGCTAAATATTTGCCATCAATTTTGCGAAAGAAGGCCTCGGTGACTGAGCATTCACCCGGTTGGAGTATTCTTAAGATGAAAACTAACGCACAAATGCTAAGTAAGACAGCCATTCTGAAACTGAACATATGGCTCTTCGTCTCGTATTTAAATCAATAGTTTATTTGCTGTGTACAATATCATCTTCTATTCCTGTTAAAATGTGTTCAGTCGCTACGCAATTACTGGCTATTTCCGCTTATTATTTGTCGTTCTCCCAAACTCCCACGCGTCTTTTTATTTACGAAAATAGAAAACATTTTCCGTGTTTCTATACAGTCATAGAAACACGCGTGGGAGTTTGGGAGAACGGGAAATAATCAGTGGGAAAACGAGCCCGTAGGGCGAGTTTTTTCACGTTATTTCGAGTTCTCCCAAACTCCTACAAGTGTTTCTATAACTGTATAGAAACACAGGAAAAAATGCTTTCTATTTCTTTTATAATATAACTCAATAAAAGATTTTGTACAAATATTATGATTCGATTCAATTACAAATTCTCATTACATTGCTTCGCTTGTCAAGTTCGGCGGGAAAATATCCGTGTTTCTATACAGTTACAGAAACACGCTTCTCGACCAATCAGCACGCGCGTGCTATAAATGTATATTATAAAACGGTATAGAAACACGGAAATTGTTTTGTATTTTTTAATTATTGTTAAAATGTGAATACGCAATTTTCCCAGTGCAACGCGAATAATCAAATTAAATTTTAGGGGGTTTTTATTTGTCAACTGCATGCATGTAAATATAAGGTTTTACCACATGCAGTGGCGTAGCCAGCCTGACAAATTGGTGATGCTATGCAAATTTCAAGTCATTAAAATTATTAAGTTCTTTAAAAATTCATTGTTTTCACAGTCAATGAAGACCAAATTTAGCATAGCATGACTAAATTGTCAGGCTGGCTACGCCACTGATTACATGCAGAAGAGAATTTTTCATCTATTTAGTTAACTTTTATCGTTGATAACAATTCTAGGCCTACTAGACTGTGTTCATGTATTCTTAAGGTCTGTTCACACGATCCAACTTTGTTGGATCCAATTCACTTCTGACGTATGGGATGTAGTATATTATCGATAAAGCAATACTGAATTGGCTTAAGAGGATTTGCGGCCCATATTTATGCCAAGTCAATCGGCTATTAAACATCTATCAGAAGTGAATCGGATCCAACAAATTTGGAGCCTTGAACCCTTTTAGCTAATATGTTTAAATTAGTCACTGTGCATGTTTAATTAGTGTTTTATAAATAGCGGAAAATTAGGTTTGTCTGGGGAAAAGCGCGACAGCGCATTGAAACCAGCCCAGTACGTTTTGGGTCACGTAGCTAAGTTAGTGTATTCGTCGAAAGTTGTTTAAAATGTTACATTTTAGTTTTCGAGCAGCCTTAAGGACGTTTTCCACTTCAACCGTATCGTAGCGAAACGTAGCGTATCTCATTGTTTTAAAGTCATTAGTTCAGGTCGAATACTTCGAAAACAAAGAAATACGCTACGTTACACTACGATACGATTGATGTGGGAAACAGGCCTTACGATGTCACTTAATCACGGACTTCCGAGATGAGAATGTTGCGTGACTTAAGTTACAACTCGTCATGTATATTTACATGAATTCTTAATGGCGGACAAATTACTTTAAATCGATATAAGTTTCGCGCTGTTCTTTAATGATAATACATGTCGGTCGAAGTCGCAAATTGTAATAATTACATTGACTGAGGTGAGCCTCACAGTTGGCCTTGTATAAGTGTGGAAATTTTCAGTTGGGTAAAAAGAACAGTTTGAGTTTATAATTCAAGTGTGTTGGGGTAATGTGCACTTTGGTGTCATTTTAATCAGTGCTCGAGATGAAAATGCATGTTATGTGACTCAACATAAGTTACAACTCGTCATGCATGTTTACATAAATTCTTAATGGCGGACAAATTACTTTAAATCGATATAAGTTTTGCGCTGTTCTTTAATGATAATACACGTCTGTCGAAGGGACTGATTCATAGATATATCATTTTTCGATTCTTTTTAAATATACCTGCTTCAATATACGCGGCAACAAGGCTAGCTAAAGATAACCCCAATTTCACCAATTTTAATAATTAAATCGACTAAGGTGAGATTCAGAGTTAGCCTTGCATAAGTGTGAACAATTTCAGTTGGGTAGAATGGTCCGTTTGTGTTTATAATTCAGGTTTACTCGAGTATGCGGCGTTTTAGTGTCATCTTAACTGATCTCTGACTCTCAAGATAAAAATGTATGTTGCATGACTCCCCGTACAACGCTTCATGCATAACTCCATTAATCGCAGATGGCGGACAGGTAATTGAGAACAAAAGGACAAACAAATTGTGAGAAAACAAAACATAGTCATCAAGGTTGTATTATTCGGATATCTGAGCGTCTTTGAGCTTCAGAAATTCTTTAAACACTAAACCAGGGAGTAAAAAGTTGTTACCGTTTATTGTAGTTAAGACGTAGTTAAAATTATTCATTCTCAAAGGCATATAGTCGATCATGACTTTTCAAAACATAGTTCAAAATACCGTCTTGAAATTTCGACAAGTTTGAAACATTGAAAACATCACGTAGCTAGCTACCAGTTGTTATGCATTAGTTAATCGTCGTCCCAATTTCACAAGGTCACAAATTGAAATAATTACATTGACTGAGGTGAGCCTCACAGTTGGCCTTGTATAAGTGTGGAAATTTTCAGTTTGTGGAAATTTTCAGTGAGTTGGAGTAATGCGCATTTTGGTGTCATTTTAATCAGTGCTCGAGATGAAAATGCATGTTATGTGACTCTACTTACAACGCATTTTGCATATTTACATTAATGACAAATTATAAAGCCTGGTTTTCATAAGTCGTAATTTTTTGGCGATGGCTATTGTCAGTGGTCACTGATGCCTAAATTCCTTTGTTTATCGAGGAAAATTATATGCTTCATTGATCACCGACAATAGATCGTGGACCATCACCGAAGAATTACGACATCATGATGAAAACCAGACTCTATAGATCATGGACCGGTTGTATGAAAGCCGGATAGCGCTATCCACCGGATAGTGATTTTTTTCAACCTTTCTGAAAATGCTTGGGAATAAGCAATAAAATTTTAGCTTTGGAAGCAACAATTATTGAAGAAGATTCTCAATTTAGGAATACTAAGGTTTAATTCAGTTGTCCCAAACAACTGAAATTTACTTGAATACTGTGGCTTATTAGATAGCGGTTCTGATCGGCCATTTATGAATTATTGTACCATAGAGGGTTATAAACTTAAATAGCTTGCTTCCTTTGAAGAACTGAAGGTATTTGTCGAAATTCTTTCGCTATCTGGTAAATGGACGTCGCCTGCCGGCTCTACTAAACAGTTCGACAATTGGACTGGTACTATTATTATTAAACTTCATCAGAAAACATCAAGTCTGCAGGTACAGGAAGCGAAGGCGAAAATATCAGGAATAAACTGGTAAAAGCAATTGAAAGTCGCAAGCAACTACAAGGGTCGTTGGATAATACGGTCGATGTTCAAGCGCAGAATGGAGCCGAACTGCAAGATGCAGTCAGTGATGCATCCAACACCGTAGATAATTGTGGTCAAACGACATGTATATGTCCGGGACGTGAAATTTAATGGAACTTGAAGGTATGAAGCTTGAAATGGCTATTTTACAACGCTAAAATCTGTCAACGAAGTTGTTCGAATGAATACCGAAAACCAATCGGTAATTCAAGATTTAAATCTTAAATGTGCTGCTCTCGAACAAAGAGCGGTGAAAGCTGAAGAGAAGAGAGATTCATTACGGTTGGCATTAAAAATCGTAATTCAGAAAATAGAAAGAGATAAAGATCCTAATTCTTTGCATTGTATATGACCGTACTAGCCATTTTTTTTAACAAAGGACAAGGAACCAAAACTAATACAATGCAATTTGATTTAACAAGCGATGATGCTCACCATTGTCAAGAAAGGGTAATTAACAAGAGGTTAATCTTATCACTCAAATTAGGCAAAAATGCGTAAATCCACGCACGTGCTCAAACGCCAACATAGGTACCCCCATCTGGCCAAGCGGCTTGTGAATCAGATAGACATTATAATGTTTCCAACAATAGTGGCATTATACACAATAATGTTCGACCATGCACGTATATAATGCCCGTTGAACATGATCGTGAGTATAGTGCTCACGAACCGCAACTTGACCAAGTAAACAAAAACGTAAACAACACTAATGCCTGTGACGACTTGAGTCAACTAAGTCATCAGCAAACCAGTGCATTACTTAATAACAACAGTGAGAATACACAAGGCTTCCATACATCTAGTTCGCCTTAAGTGCAGGACTAATCGAATAACATTAAAAATAGAAATCGAGCGTTCCCTCGTTCTAAGATCTCTATTCTTGGGGACTCTGTGATTAAGCGAATACAGTCAAGACAAATTTGACAGGCTATGACTACTAGTAAATCTGTTTACATTCGCTATTGGTAACCTGTGTGATTTAATCAGAGAAAACTGTCCACACACATCTATATTTCTTTATCCGAGCTGACAGTCCGCAATGACTTTCGCAACGCAAATTCCAAAATTCGCGAAATCAATAAGGAACTATTAACAGTTAGCAAAATGAAAGGATGTCACCTGATTAATAATTCCAACATCAATTTAAAAGAACTTGATAGATATGGCCTTCATTTAAATGATGCTGGTGTAGCAACTCTGACTAACAATTTTATCAATCATATTAACTATTTTTAGCGACTGTAGGCAGGCCACAGACTCTCTCACATGCTCTCATCCAATGCTGACAGCCCTCCCTTTTCTGTATCCAGTAACTTGACGATAAACGACCCTCTTTCCGACATTCCAATTAAGGGCCTAACATTTTTTTGTCTAAATATTCAGGCCATAACTAATAAGCTTAATGCCATTAATCTTGATGCCACAATCAGTCGACAAAAAATTAACATAATTTTTTGCTTTGCCGAAACTCTGAATTATTAATTGATGACTTTGGTTGTGTTAGG